AGAAATTTCAATACGTATTCACATGCTAGCATCTTCATTCGACAAGCCATACTGCAATCATGATTCTTTCATAAAGATGATGGTAGTGATCTATGCAGAGGTGATCAGAAAAGGGGGTGCCACAACGTGACGTCTAGAGTCCTTTTATCACCTTGTACAAAGTCAATATTAAGGGAAAAACAAAAATAGCAGTGATCTATGCCTATGTCCATGTTTAAAACTGGTACAAACTCCCTTTGTTCAATTTGTTCAAGCTCTTGATTATGCAAAACAATCTTGCAGGGGCAATGGCGACAACTGCAAAAGCCGGGAAGTGCCACAAGAACCTTCCATGGAGGATCTTTTGCAGAGGTGCCATTTGCAGGAGGAGATGCATGGATGAGCATCCTGGCTCAAAAGGAAAATGCCAACTCCTTATCTTCTGCAGATGTACTTGGGACTGCTAATGCCTCTCTCTCTCTCTCCACCATAAAATAAGAGGACTTGTAATGATAATTGAGATGTCTTGATCATCGGGTGAGGTTTGTTAAGGTGTCAAAACTATGTCGAAAATGCAGTTTCCATGCCATGATTTGTAATGAGATTAAAATTTCTTGTTGCCCCAATTATGAAATTTAAAGTTTTAAAAATGGTGACAATCAAACATATCTATAAATACTTGAAAATCTTGAAAATGGCAAACATATCTATAAATACTTGAAAATAGACAGCCCAGATAATATGTTAAAAGATGAACCATTTTTAGGATTAGAAATCAACTTTTTTGAGGTCTATGAATCTTGAGGTTGAGATGATTGATTGGAGAGTTTTCCATTATGAGAATAACCTTCTCTAGTGGGTTTTCTAGGTTTACCTTACTCGTACAGTACTTTTTTCTAAGTTTTCTAGTGGACACCTTATATAAACTTTTTCCCTTGGTCCTCTGCCCATTTGTGCCTTATCTTGTTCACTTAAACTTTTATCTAGGGTCAGTAACACTTGGGCCAGCCTAATCTTGGCTTAAGCCTGGCACTAGTCCCTATATAAGGCTGATCTAAGGCCTGCTCAGCCTAGATAAGGCCAAAGAGCTCTGATATGGTCGGCTGGACCTCCGCACCCAAAGGGAAAAAGAAAAACAATAAAAAAAAAAAAGGGTTGGGCTGACCCTGTCATGGCATTGGCCCACGCTTAGCTTGGCTAGGACCTCAAGCCATCGTGGCCTGGCCTGGCCAAGCCACAATTTGTGACTTAGGCTCTAATTTTTCAGGGTAGTAACAAAGCTGACCTAGCCTATTGCCAGCCCTACATCTTTCATTTGCTTATTTTCTTTTATTAAATCCTTTTATAAAAATAGTCCATAATAAATAACTATTGGGCAGAACCTTCCACAAGCAACATTTCAAATAGGCTCTAGCATAATCACTAGGATTGTAATTAGGGGATTGCTATCAGCACCCATATTTTTGTATTTTACTACCGTGAATATGGGTGCAAACCCAAATGTACATGGGATCTTATCCTGAAAAAAGTTGGGGACTTATTCTAAGTATTATATTTTATTATTTAATATTTTATTAGTTGAATAGAGAGTTTCTTCTTTATACAAGCAACTTGTTAGGCACACAAATGTGTGGTTAGTTGGGAAGACAATCTACCAAGGAATGAGAAGTATACAATAAGACCATTTAATTTTGGTATAACTGGAGGTGTACGATGAATTTGCTTAAAAATTGAGGTTTTTTATTTTTCTTTTTATGCAGATAAATAAAACACCCTGGCTATTCCATTTTGATAAATGTATCAAATTATCCATGAGCATTTAACAATATAATATTTTATCCATAGCTCTTTATTTAATTTCAGAGTACCCATAAAATAACACTTGTCTCAAGTTGGAATAGTCTAAAAAAAATATAAATTGTTCAATAGTTCATCTCTTTTAGGTATTTTAATAAAATAAAATAGTTTAATAGGGCTGCAGATCTATGAAACGAAGTAAAGCCTCACCTCATAACTCATCAAGAACTTCAATTCAAGCATTGGGAATTATGGCTGTGAAGAAAATTAAGATTTTAAGCTCTAAAATAGCATATATTTTAACAAATTATCTAGGCCCCCTAATAATATGTGTTCATCGATCAACAAGATATGTGCCATTATTCGAGTGTTCATAGATCTGCAAGATCTATACTATTATTTGGGTTTTAAATTATATTATCGTTGTTGAAAATTGATTTTTATTACCAAAAGTACTTCTTTGATGAGGATTTGAGGTGAGACTTTATTTTGTTTTCATAAAGCCGATGCTGATAGAAATTTCATCCATTAATAAAATTCCCTTTAATTTTACATCAAATAGTTTGAGGTGTTTATTCCCTCTGTTTACAAAAGAGTAACAGCCCCAAGGGATTTAGACTAAGAGCAAGGCGAAGTGGGTCATTTACGATTGTATGATTTGATTGGGATAAAGTAGATGAAACGCTTCAACAACCAGGCCAACATACGAAACCCTATGAGATCTTCACATTTGGCTTTTAGAGGATTTTTTTATGATAAGAGTCAGGTTTTGTGATAAAACCACCCCTAATGGTTGAGGTTTGAAAAATTAACAATCTCAATAAGAACTATTCGTGATTAGTATATTTCAATTGAATTGGGGAGTTGACCTTTTATATAT